ACAAGCGCCTGTCGCCTGGCTTCCGGGAACGACTCCACGGACTGAAGGCTGTACACTCCGGTCTCGAGCAGATTAATGCTAGTTTGAATAGCGGTGGTATTGCCCGCCGTGATCCCGTTACCTCAGAGCACCCCATTGTCCGAACTCACCCGGTAACTGGCGAGAAGGCACTTTACGTGAACCCTCAGTGTAAGTCTGGATCAACACATTTCGTGAAAGATTTGGAAAGCTGACATGTCTTCTTACTATCGCATAGTCACCCGTTACATTGTTGGATACAAGAAAGAGGAATCAGACCACCTCCTCAAGTTCCTGTACGACCACATTGCCTTGTCGCAGGACCTGCAGGCTCGTATTCGCTGGAAGGCTGGTACCGTCGTTGTCTGGGATGTAAGTTATAGCACCAACCTGTTCTTTCTTCAACGAGAAAAAGACGCTGACCATAGTAGAACCGTGTGGCATGCCACTCTGCCGTTTTCGATTGGGAGGATGGCCAGCGCCGACACATCGCTCGTCTCACACCCCAGGCTGAGCCTCCCTATGAGACACCTTTTGAGGGTTAGATGGGGCGCTGGAAGCCTTCGAATTTATAATAACACATAGCTACGAAAATCTCAATCCCGAATTGAGAAGAAACGAATAACAAGGAATAATTTGATTCCCATGTCTGCATTATTAGCGTAAATATGCTGCATGTACGTCGTAGGCTTTCGTAGTTTGTGTCATATAAAAAGCCCAACAACTCACGCTTTCTCGCGCCTGAAACGACTCAAAAGCCCAACATTCCACTCGTTAAACCTCCTAGCAGAGAGTGGGAGCATCTCATTACTCCCAGTCAATGCTTGCGACATTGCTTCGAATATCATAGATGGCAATTCTAACTCTTCCACCGACAAGGGCGAGGGATTCCCAATTTCCGGGTGCAACAGCTCATCCACGTCAGAAGAGTTTTGGTAGAATACTTTCATCGCTTGCTGGGCCATGATGCTGCGGCCTGCACTAGAATTCGAGTATCGCATATCTGGATTGAAGACCCAAAGCTGCCAAGCAAAATGTTCGTTAGCCGGTGCCGCCTATAAGTTTTATTCTCGACAATGCCTCAAATTAGGAGGTACTGGAGTGAAATGGCACATCACTTACCACGAGACCGCTCTTTTGACCACAGTGAACGACGAATCGCCGGGCGCTTTCTCTCTCGATCAATTCAAGTAACTGTGCAGCAACGATCGTTTCTGTCGGGTGGACCTCCCATTTTTCGATGTCTGCCTCGTCATGGCTGAGTGAACTGGTATTCAGGGATACGTTGGCCTTCAGCAGTCGCCATCCCTTGGCGATTGGATCTTCCATGCCAATTATGGAATTGCAGTTTGCGCAGTCGAGGGTTCGTGGTGTTGAGACTTCAATGTTTTGTTTTTGCTCTTCGTCATTGCCCTGGATTGCATTGCTTGTCAGGAAATTGTGATCGAAACGTAATTGGAATTATTGCGCCAAATAAAAGACTTGGAAGTGAAGGGAAAGGCATTGTATTCAATCTCGCAGTTATATAGATATTGCACACATCACATCACGCAAGGAGAATAATATAATGTAACTCTTGTAATCACGTCCGCTCCGCTGCTCAAATAGCCGGCGCTGAAAATAGAGAACACCTTGAGTGGCAAAACAAGGAAATAGCAGCTCACACAGGTCCATTATCGCAAACCCAAAGAGCGAAATCCATCTGCAGAGAGAGGATAACTACCCCTCTAGTCCGTGATCCTGTTCCTGTGAGAGGACCACCTTCTCCTTGGATTGCAAGTACACAAAGCGCATATCGTCCATCTTGGGCAATTGTATCGGAGGCCACCCCACTGAAAACTGAGTGGTCCCCTTCTAAGTTGCCCGGTTTCAAGGGGATAAAAAGCAGGCTGAAACAATAGGGTAGAAGGGAGGGACGTAATTATCTTACCTTTTTCAATCCTGTGCAGTCTGTTTCAGCGAGAAGGAAAGTAGCAACATCAACAAAAACTGTCCCTGAAATAGCCACAACGTGGCTGTCTGCACCATATCCTTTAGTCTGCGCAGTTTTTTCCTCAATCTCGAGCGCAGTGTCTTTCTCGTCTTTTTCGTGGCCTTCATGGGGGTCCGGTTTGTGGCAATGCCAGAAATCCATCATTTCAGCCCAGTTCCCACTGGGAAGGTCTTTCCAGATCCACCCGGCGGTAGGGCTTTCGCCTGTTCCCTGATCAACCGACCTGGATATCAACGAGGAGTCAAGAAATACTTGTGCACACTCTCGACAACGAATACGAGTCGATGTCGACATTTCATCTGCTGTCCATGGTGCAAATTCATCAATTAGTTCATCACGAGGCGCCAGCGCCTCTTCGTGGGGATCGACCTGCATGCGGAAAGAAAAATCATAGCTGGAATCCCCAGCGCCATTGGGATCTGATTTTGGTGCTGGCCCACTAGGTGCTTTCAACACGCGCCGAGACGCGTCATTAACGCGCGCTGGCAGTTTGATCGTTTCTGTGACATATTCATATGGTTTTGATAGGGAGACTGTGACTGCTTTTCTTGATTCTGAAAGTTGGATGTCCGGTCGGATTCCATCAAATCTTGCCGTCCCGGGGAGGGACACGTAAAGGGTTATCTGGCGGATGTTTGGTAGAAACTCTGCGTGTAGATAGAGGGGCACATCGGGATCCTGCATTGTGGAAGTTGTGTACGCGAATGTGTCCCAAGCAGGGAAGATATTCGATAACTGGTGGTGTGTGATGCTCCCTGGCTAGAAGGATGACGGGAAAGAGAGTGAGTAACCGGGGCAACTATTTAGCAATCATGCAGAAATGAGAATTCCGACTGTCTTAAGGCCATGAGAAACATATCGCGCTTAGAGAAGATTAGTTGATGCCAGTGGTGATCTCGGCCCCAGGGTCCGCGTTTCTTACATGCAAACAGTGCAAACACCCATCACGTCAACACGTGAACCCGTACATAACTGTAAATCTTTACTTCCTTCCCAAGGTCGTAATGCAAGAACGGTTATCAATTGCCGTATGTATTTTGTTTAATTATTCATTAAATCGTAAATAAATTTGAGCTGAGTGGAGTGAAAACAAATGAACAAAGCCTACAGCTCATATCCGACAAAATTACCTCGCCAACACTTGAACTCGGTCACGAATCGCACAGCAGCCTTCAAGAAGAAGCTATCAGAATCACCCCAAGTCGAGGCTAGTTCCTTCAGTGCTCGGGTAGTCTTTACAAAGTACACATTGGACGAGAATTCACCATTGACGGCTTGCCCAGCAACCCATTCCCAGTCCTTTCCGTTTAGATCATAATTCCGAATTTGGTCCATTTTGATCTCAGGCCGCAGTTGCGCGACGTAGATGCCGACGCAAACTAACCACCACTGTCGAAGAAGAGAAATTTGGAACTGGGGAGGTATGAAAGGCAGCATGACGCGGACAGCGTGGCTGGTTGCGAGGTTCAAAGCGAAGAACCAATCGTAATGCCCGGTCGAATCAACTGCAGCCGTTCCAACTAGCAAAGCAGCTGCAAGCTCTTGGCTCTCGCGGAACTGTTCAATTGGGTTCTCGATCCTCCATGCCTTCCAGTGTTTGAGAAGCACGGCGTTCCGGCTGACGAAAAGGGTATTGAGGTTGTCGCTGCCGGGAGTTGGAAAGAGGCCATCTAAGTCCTTATCTTGCCGGACCAGGTCTAGAATTGCAAAGAGTGACTTCGATTCATACGATGCCTCGTTTTTCGAATGTTTAGGGTCCTCCAAGGACTTGTATATGTCATTGTGGCAGGTTGCTGCAAGGGCGAGTGCCTCCATTGCGAGTTCACGACTATCCATTTCAAAGGCGTACGCAAGATGGATCAATGGCAATCCGACTAAACAGTGGTTAGCACGTGCAAAGTCAAGCCTAGCTTTCTCGATGCGCATTGAAACATACGACAAGCCATTATAGAATCAAACATGGGCTCCTTGCCGGTAAACAGGTACTCGGCCACGACTTCCTTCCACTCATAGCCGAGGTGGACCATTTCATCTTCAAAGAAATCCACGAACGCCCGATCAAATCTGCTTAGTGTTAACGAAGAGTCTCAAGTAGAAGAAAGGCCAAGACAAGTCCGGTAACCCACCCTCGACATCCCAGGTGGCCTCGCCAGTCAAGAGTAGTGATTTCAGCCGGTGATCCCTTCCATTTAACTAGATCAGACGCTTCCTCCTCATATATGTGGCCTAAAATATCGGCGTCTGCGCCTTGCAGAAAGGAGGAGCTCAAGAGCTGCAAGCAGGTCAATGACATGGACCAATGACGAGGAATGCATACATAGAAAGCCCTTGTTACGAAGGCAATGCAGATCACTCACGTGTATTATTTGGTTAGGGAAGTTCCGACAATCGAATAGCGAGTTCTCCACATGATTCAACTTCAGTAGGTGCTTGAATGCCCGGGCCGGCTTGTCTTGAGCTGCTTCGGTTTCATGGACGTTGACCGGTGGCAGATCAATCGCTTGGGTGGGTGAGGATGAAAACAAGCCAAGAGATGGCAATGATGGCCACCGAACAGTAAACATTGTGACGATGAGCGAAGCTGTGTGTAGCTATTTGGATGGGATTGTTGGGAAATCGTCACGTGAAGCAGAAGTTGATATCGATGAATGACGTAGGAAATTTTGGGTTATCAATCTGGTCACATGACGTCTAATAAAAATCCCAAGGCTTCGGTTCCATCAGGCGGCGGCTACCTACTCAGCTTGCTAAAAAAAAGCAAACATACGAAGTCACTATTTTGATGCAAATTATGGCTGGGATGGATCAATACTCTCAGTATAGTTCAGAAGCATATACCAATGGTTATCAAATTTGGGACATGACCACTTTTATCATAGTTCCAAGGTTTTCGAGAGATAACCTGGGTTGCGAGGTATTCTATTTAAAAATGCTAGATTTTGCGCAATCAAGTCACATTATATGTAGTATATCCTGAGGATCTGGATATTTAATCCTTATGTTGTTCAACAACTGGAATCGGCTGCTCTGGCTGAGCACCGGCCTCTCCATTGAAGACTTCCACCGATATACGGGGACCGACGAAATTCTTGCGTCCATCTACAATCCACTGAATGACGGAAATGACAAAGACAATACCAAATGCCGCAACACAGTAATCTGTCACATCGAATTAGCTTTGTTCTTTTGCGCCACAAAAAGTGAGAGCCAACTTACTCATGTTACTACCAGTGGCAGGCAGCTCAGGGGGAAGAGGAAGAGGACAGTAGTCAGGGCAATGTACGCCAACGAGACCTGAGAAGTTATAAGTCAGTAATGACTTCAATGAAGCCGCTGGGGAGGATCTCATACAAGGTTGACGGTCCAGCCAACGATTTCCGGCAGGACGAATGAGCGCTCGGGTAGCATCCGTCTTCCTCGACAGCAGTTCACTGCAATTGGCATTCCATATGAGATACCTAGCAGCACCACCGAGGCCGAGACAATAGCATTGAAAGCACTTGGAGACGTTAGCAAAATCCAGGATGAAACGTTATGCATATGCTTACCTGGATGAGCCCAAGAAGATACACCCGAAGATAGTGATGAGAGCCAAGTTGAGATATAGCGAGTTCAAGGGGACATCCAGCTTGGGGTGAACGCGAGAGAAGAAGGGAGACGCAGGGAGACCGCCATCACTATAAGTAGTATCAGTATAATGACTAATTTTGAAGACCAAATGTCAATAAAAACGTACCGTGCGAAGGCATAGATCATACGACTACTAGTGGTCATAATTGCGATAGCAGCGAACAGAGCGCAGACTAGGGGGAAACTTGAAAGGGTGTCAGTACAACAAGAAAGCGACGGAAGAGCAGTGAGGCCTACATCAAAAGACAGATAGCGCCGGCATTGTTCGAAGTGGCATTCTTCAAGATTGCAAGGAGCGGGGTTGCCGCTGAGTCGATAATTTTGTTGATATCGCCAGCCACAAAGAGCAGTACAATTAGGAAGATTGCTCCGGTGAAGGTACCGATAAGGACGCAAGCAATCATAATCTTGGGTCCTTCAACTGAAGGGTTGGGAATTTCTGTAGTCCATTAGCCTCAGATTCATGATTAAGGACAAACTTCTAGAAGCTACCTTCAATCATGTGGGCGACACCATCAAAGCCAGTAACACCAAGACCACCTTGAAGAAGCTATGAATATGTTAGATATATGCTCATCAAATTTCGTATCAAACGACATACCCCAAGCAACCACGCAACTCCATCAGGCCCTACGAGAGTCAGTTCAAGAAACATAGATAATGATAGGGGAAACTTACATCCTGTTTGATTGATGAAATCGGTGAAGACGAACCTGTTCTCTGTCAGTCATTTGGCGTCTAGGGAAGTGTCGACCTGATAAGACTTACTTTGCGGAATTATAATTTGGCGAAGCACATGAAAGTGCGGTGATGCAAATGACGGCAAATCCTGTTAGTGACCAGAGGACTGTGGGAATTAGTAAAAGACCTCTGACAGCTTGATATAGGGTATCTCACAAGCTCCCTTAGTGACATAAGGCATCAGGTTGTTCATAAAGGCGTTGACGAGGAAGGCAACGATGTTGTAGCCGCAGTAGATTAGGAATTGGTGCCAGCGCTGGGGATTATAGCTCTGAATGTGAAGGTCAGTCAAATGTATCAATATTGTAGCATAGAATAACTTACCGGGTTCATGAGAGAGATCACACCCTGGATGAGCTGACTGCCCAAGAGGCCAGCAGTTGCGACCAGCGCAACCCAACCAGAGCAGTTAATCCAACCCGTAATCCAGGAAAGAATTGGCATCCATTTTCCCCATGAAGTCACAGCGACCCAATGATATTGGCCTCCGGCGGTAGGGTATGCAGAAAGAAACTCGGCCAGGGAAGTGGCCATGCACAAATTACAGATTCCGGCTGTAATAAGACCTATTGTGACTCATGTCAGCTCTGTTTTGAGGATTGGATAGAAAGCCGAGCAGATGCATACCCCAGACAACACTCGCGCTGCCTCCCGAGGACAAACTGAGTCCCAAACTTGCCGACAAAGCGGTCCATGACTGTTCAGTGTTAATTGTTGATACATATAAAATTTTGTATACTGCCGGTCGCGTCACGTACATTTAGAATGGCAAAAGCAAGACCCAACATGGAACTTCAAGAACGAACACAGAGGTTAGCACACTCCAGGAATTGGTGTTCAATTGCAGCACATACATCATGGAGAAGTTTCGCTTCAGCTCAGACTTGTGGCCCAGCTGGGCCAGCTGAGCATCATCGCTATTGTATTCGTCTTTGTCCATAGTAAGTGCTATGTACCACGTGCAACAAGTGATGAAATGGAAAAAAAAAGGTCAGACAAGGAGGAACAGGGATCTTAAGCAGGCCTCGAATACAATAATAATATGACAGATTTTCGAATATCAATTTCTAAGCCCAATCTTCCGAGCATACTGTACTACCGTTGGGCCCCCGCGGGGAATTAGACCGAGTACGGAGTAGTGTTATGTAAAGGATTTGGGGTATGGAACCTCGGGCGTTCAGAAGAAGATAACCGACCGTGTCTGTGACTGGCCCGGCGGACCGAGAACGGCGATTTCGGCCAGTTACAAACTGCAAGCTGATCGGGCCCTTCCAAGGTTGGATTGTCGCGGACCGACGATCCATGGCTTGCGGCGGCAGCCCCAGTGCTTATGCCCTGATCAATGTATGATTGGTCAATTTTAGACCCACATGTCTGACTAGCGGGAAGGAAGGTTACTGGGGGAAGTGGACGATCTTTGGAGGCGGATAAATGACGAAAATATAGTGTGGGATGTGCATGATAAATGAAGGTATATTGCTTCCAAGGGCTTGGCTAGTCCTTGGCTTTACTTGTTTTTGCAGGTTACTGTATTTGCACCTGTTTGAGTGAATTGAAGCAAGATGCCAAGAGAAACAAATTTGTGTGGAGCGGTGGGCCGAAAACCTTTGAAGGTTATCTCGATAGACAAATACTCCTATGTAAAACGATATCTCTTTTACCGGGTGGACTCCGATGCCAATTTCTTATCCGCCACATATTAAATCGTCTATCAGTACCTTTGGAGGAAAAGTGTGGTTCCATGTTTGACCTTGGCCTTATTCAAGTGCCCAAGAGTGCTCCGAGCGTATCATCCCTTATGACTGCGTATCTATGTTTTGCCCTTCAGAATACGCAATGTTCTCTACAAGTGATTTTAAATCACTCCACCCAAAAATTGAAACATAGATATCATGCCAGTCGTTTTGGGGGGGGAGTTACTGCGAGAGAAAAGGAAAGAAGGGGAAATTAACGAAATTAACATTGAGAATCGAAGAGTGCATAAAACAAAAAAAAAAAAAAAAAAGCAAAATTGCCCCTTTCATTATCCTATGATGTATTAGGATATACGGAGTACAAAGCACACATGTACAAACATTGCCCATCCCCAAACCACACCTTGACATCATTCACGTAAATTTCAAACTCAAAAATGCCAACTTCCCCTTCAAACGGCAGCCCTGGAGGTGGGTTGCTTCAGTAAGCACACGTAAATGGCTCAAGAGCCCTCTTGACCCACTGTTCCTCCTCCAATCCACTTATCCATCACGATGTTTTAGAGAGAACGAGACCTGGCTGGCATCACTTCTTGCATCCAGGGCCGTAGAGCCACATTGGACTACTCATTCTGTCCTTCAGCATACAACAGGAACCAACTCCCAATGCACTCGGTTCGAATATGCTCAATCATATCGGCCTCGGTCCACACACTAAAGGCGCGGCGGAAGATTGCAAACGATCGCTCATACTTGTCAAGGGCGGGGTCAAGTCTCATCATCTTCATATGGCTGTCGGAAATTGATTCCATCTTGGGGTGCGTGAGCATGGCAGTACAACCACGGCACGAGTAAATGATTTTGCGCGTATTGTCCCGATTGACGACAGAAACCCGACATGCAACTTCATGGTGGTGAGCATTCTGGTGATAATTCCCCATGGAGAGGAGCAAACGCAGTTTGACAGAGTTGGGTGAATCCAGTGGAGCAGCGCGATAAATGTCGTGTTGGTTTTCGACCACAAATTCTTCGTCATCGTCATCGTCATCGAGCGTACCAAGTTCGTCTTCTCCATCGGAACTTGACGCGGTGCCCTCCGCAGCATGTTTAATACCCCTGCGGGTGCCGTACAGTTCCAGGGCTTTGGTAAGCGCCAATTTGACAGGAATAATCCAAGCGCCAAGATCTCCCAAATCAAATTCATTCCTGCTCAGCCGCGGCAAGTACATGGTTTGAGTATTAATGAGATCGGGTAGGTCAAGACCAAAGATGATGGCAGCCTTTTCAATGGGGAGACACCAATATGAATGGTTTTCGTGCAGGCAAGGGTGGCAGATACGCTCCATTGTAGGTAGGTAAAGTTGAACGGACGAAGCGCCGCATACCACGCAGTTTTCACGCATAATTGCTTCTTTAAGCTCATGAATGGACCAGTTCTCATGGATCTGAGTCTTTCTGAGAATCTTCGGCATTCCCGGGGCCCACTGCCTCAGAAATCCAACTGGGCTTTTCAGCACAAGCTGATTGGCGATGCGGTTGACGTACGACAGACTTATGGCACTAGGCATGTCCAATTTGTTGACAATCATGTCGAAGATTTCGTTCGGGAGACATCTCATATTTCCCAAGTCCTCCGTGACCTTCTCCTTGGGTGTGATGGGCTCCGGCACAGGCTTCACCTCGATATCGACGATTCCAGTTTCCAGAGTACGGGGGCTCTTGGCAATGATTTTGAGCATCTTGGCCGGCTCCCGGCTATTGGCAAAATTCTGTCCCCAGGACAACTGCTCCGGGTCCAGCGTGAGATTCATTGTGGCGAGGCGCCGTGCAAATCACAAGAATATGAGATTGAATGTGTTGGAGAGAACGCAGTAAGAGAGGCCTCCGGTTGGAGAAACGCGTGAAAAACACGTGCGGTCAACCAATGGAAGAACACTATCAGTGTCATGTCAGTGGATGATGTGATAGACACTCCATGTGGATGATAACTCAAACCTGATAAACGCAAACCCTTGGATTGAGAAGGGAATGGATGAAAAGATATTGAGAAGGAAGGAAGGTGTGAAGAGAAAAAGTGAGGAGAAGAAGTGGCAAGGCGAAAGAGAAACAATCAATTTATGGAGGGAAGTGAATCGGAAAGTGCGAGAGTGCGGCCTGACATGGCAAACACGACGCCAGCCAGGTGGGAAGTGGTACTGTGCTATATCTATTTATGATGCACTGCAGGCCTTCAGTAAGCTCATGGTCGTGTACAAGGCTCAGTTGGAGGTCATTCTGCACCATCCAGCCTTTCATGTGCGCTCTCACTCTGTCCTGCTTGGGCATATCCGGGGTGAGTACATGGATGTCAAAATACACTGGTTCATGGGTTGGTACGGCTTGGTTTGGAGCCTACTACAAAGAGGGAGGTGGGCCCTTGAAGGTTACATACGACCACGAGGTGGTCGAGTTGCTCTGCAACGAAGAGAATGAGACTAATGGATGTTGTGGAATTTTCCTTAAGCTGCCGTTCTGCAAACAAGGTTGTGAAAGAATCCGGTTCTTTACGCTTCCTGAAGCAGTGGGCGCCAAGTCTGTCGAAGATTATTTGCAATACCATGACCGGGCATGTCTAGACCGTTGGGCAACTTGAAGCCGCAATTCGAGCGGAAAACTGTGTGTCCTACGGAGAGTTGTCTAGCCATATATATATCTATACCCACCATAGAGCGAATATGCATGGGATGTATGCGGTTTAACCAGGCATACTGGTGCTGCAACCTCGATGACGCTATGAAAATCTTTAGCCTTAATACCTGTGATGTCGAGGATATTAACAAAATCCACGACCCATAACTACCACTTAATGATCAGAGTGACTCGGTTTGATTAACACCTGTTAAGTCTGCCTTAGCCATCGCCTTAGGGGTATATGGCTCCCGTAAGGCAGTTAAGAGGGCCACTGAAGGTCACCCGCCACGCGGCGAGTGGTACGGGGCACACATGATACTGATGATGATGACGAAGAAGAAGGGACTGAGAGCATGACCTGCAGCGATGTTATCAGCGCTGCTTCCTTGAAGAGTCTTACCCCGGCTGAAGTGCGTAAGCCCCTGACTGCTGAGCCCGGGGTGGTCAGCCACCAGGATGAGTCTTTCGCGATGAGGGCCAAAGTTGTGCCCCGAAGCAATGTCGAAGTCTTGCTGCACTGGTGTGCGGGATGTCTCGAATGTGGGAGGAATTCGTCCAAGAGCTGACTGAAAGCACCTGAGGCTCATGAAAATCACCCCCGACCTGGAGCAAATGCGGCAAGAACGGGTTTGGATACACAAGAACGAGTATGGGTAACTAGACCTGCTCGAGGTCGAGTACGAGTAGCCTGACTAGGCCTAAACCCGATACACACGAGAAGTAAAACAATGGAAGGTTAATTCTCAAACTACCGGGTAACAGACTGAGGCTATTAACCTCAAGTTCTGCCGAAAAGTCCCACTGGAGCGGGTTGGTTGGATAGAAGATGTTGGGTCACGAGCGGCGACACAGCAAACGAGAGTGCCGCTGTTGTATGGCCACGAGGATAAAATCTATCAGTGTCAAAATTAGATAATATCATGGAGAATCTATGTTAATGAGACACTAACTGGGATGATACATATATCGCGCACGTTTATATCCTCCGTTTCACTTCTCAACTTCATCCTCTATCAGTCCATCTTCTCCCAGATTTCTCTTCATCCTCATTTTATTCTAAGAAAGCCATGCAAGCAACCAAACGCCAGAGGGCAGACACGTACACAAAAGCATCACAATAGTGTGACCCAATGTGGCACCTAGTTAGGACTTTGGATACCATACTAGAAATATATGAAGCAAACTACAGTATACATCTGCAGAGAGAGAAAAGCAAGACCACCCTTGCTATTTTCTATTCCATACGCGAGACATTTTTACGGCTTAAACCATATCGACTATCAGTGGGTTGAGCTTTCCGTGCACCATATACACCATGAAAGCTGGGAGCTTGTTTTGCATGTGGTACGGGAACTTGGATTAGATCGGTGAGAACTAGACCTTTATTGATTGATATGAAGGCACCACACCATATATGATGATGGCGAGCATCTAATTTTGCAGTTGATTGGTTGTGATCGTCCGGAAAAGTAGAAGATATTACATATCGTTCTAGACGTCCCGTTCTCATGACACGCAATTGCTTTTGTTTCGATAGACGATAAGAAGGACCCGTGGACGAGAACGATGATAACCGCAACGGCAGCAGAATATGTCATGGAGTAAATAGGTTAAGTTCACCTAGATAAGTTTGAAGACGCCTAGAAATACCCATGGTACTGTCCGCGGGTAATGGTGGCTCAATATCATTCGCGAATCTTAATTCGAAGTACAACTGTGGCGCGACAGCGTCGTGACAGGTAACGACCTTGGAATACTGTGATCACAAAGACACTCGGAATAACAATATAATACCCTTGCGAATCTGAGGCAATCAATACAGAGTCGTACGTTGAAAGATCTCGGGATTTCATCTAGTCTAGCACTGCAGCGTTGGCCTACGTGCGCTCATCGTAATGGGCTAGGGATGTGGTAATAGCAGAAAAAAGAATCAGACATGTACATGTAAACAATAGGTATATCAAATCAGCATAGTAGATACAAAGGCCGTCTGGTCGACCAGCTGAACAGTGCGGCACGTTAAAATATACGGACAGTGCCAGACTTTCTATTCAACCTCCTCCATTGGGTTCCTCAAGTGATCAGTCCGAACGACGTAATCATCCTCATCTTCATCATCTTGGGCATTGGCACTATCTGCCATATTCTCGTCATCGCCATCAATAGATCCATCGGATTCCGCACCGGTGCGGGACTTTCCCTTCTTGCTGGCGCTCTTTCCTTTGCCTTTGCTGCTGGTTGTTGACTGGCCGCTGGCACTGCGGACAAGGTTGCCTGGCCATTTGGTCAGGCCTTTGATACGACCGGGAAGACTTTCAGTTGTGTTACTGTCACCATTCGTGGCCGGTGCCTCTTCTAGTGTGGCCGAGCCGCCCAGGTTGAATGCCTCCATTGCCTCTGCAATTGTCTGTGGTGCGGCAGCGGCGGGGTCTTGCTTTGACTTGTCCACTGCTTCGAAGGTTTGACGGATGCGCTCGAAATGTTCAAGTTCCTTGGCACTGCGAGCGGTTAGTATCATGGTATATCACGAAGAAAAGAGGTAGGATAGGAAGGGGAATAAAGTGGACACATACCTAACACTTGGCACAAGCTCTCCTTGAGCAGACAGGAAATCTTCCTCTGTTACCATCACATTCACATCCTCCTTCGTGGCGAGGTGGTCAAAGAACCAAGCAGTGCTGACGGGACCATTTGGCAGAGTCTTGATCTTCTCGTCGACCGCAGTGGCCTTTCGGGTGATAGCTTTTAGCATAGCATCAGAGCAGAGTGCATACAGATCAGCACCAGTATAAGTCAAAGGAAGCTGTTCTGCAACACGGTCAAGTGAGACATCGGGGTGGAGAGCGAACTTCCGCGTCAGAGCCTCAAGGATAGTCGCCTGCTTCCTATGTGTATCTGACACGCCCAGGTAGAGCATCTTGTCGAAGCGACCAGGGCGGAGAAGCGCAGTGTCAAGCAGATCGGGACGGTTAGTCGCACCAATGACGAACACTCCACCGCTATTCTCCTCGCCGCCGTTCATTCCATCGAGCTCTGCAAGCAGCTGACTTACAATACGGTCCATAACACCACCGCTGTCTCCCTGGTTACCACGCTTGGGCGCAACGGAATCCAGCTCATCAAAGAACACAACGCAGGGACGAGCATCCCGAGCGCGCTGGAATACTCGGCGCACGTTTGCCTCAGATTCACCAATGTACATATTAAGCAGCTCAGGGCCCTTGACAGAGAAGAAGTTGAGAGAGAACTCGGTGGCAATGGCCTTGGCGAGAAGGGTCTTTCCGGTGCCAGGCGGACCATAGAACAAGATACCACTGCGCTTCTTCATTCCCTTGGCGAAGAGCTCGGGTCGTTCGAGTGGCAGCTGAATGGTCTCGACCAAGGCATCCTTAACGTTGGTCAATCCACCAACATCATCCCAGCCAACGTTTGGAATCTTAGGTGCGCCGATGGAATCGGCAAAGTTCTTCCGCGCAGCTTCTACAGCGGCGTCAAAGTCTGCCTTGGTGACACCTCGTGCACCGTCACCTCCTGCCAGCAGGACGTCTCTAACGAAGACCTCCGATCCGGAAAGCTTCTTGCTAGCCTCGGCCAGACTTTCGAGGCGAGCTGTTCTCGCTCCGGCAGCCCGTTCCACAACGTCAACCAGATCTCCTGCAACAAGAGCTGCGGTCTTCAGAGCAATGGTACCCAGTTCCACATCCGCGGACAGTCTGATACTGCGCTCTGCGACGGCATTTTGCAGAATGCCTTCACGCTCTTTCTCCTCCGGGGCACCCATCTCAAACTCATGGGTGATGAGGCTGCGGATACCTTCGGGGATAGTTTCAACATCAGTGGTAGTTGCAATGACAACCCTGGCATCGTTCAAGATATCACTCATTGCTGTCACAATGCGATCGGCAGTCAAAACCTCGATATGTCTAATCAGCAATGCGGTGCAGTTTGCTCCGCAGTGGAAAGCCCGTTCTGCTCGGGCTTTAAGATATGCTTCAGTCTTGACATCGCCACCATTCGCGCCGCCTTCTGTCAAGATATCGTACGCATCGATGGGGAATGTGTGCAGACCGATATCTGAGCACGCTCGAGTTGTGATGGTTGCCTTGCCGATATGTCTTTGCTGGGATCTGAGGAGAATGAAGACGGGTTTCATTCCAAGCTGAATAGCCCGCGGGCTTGTGGCAGCAGACAACAGGTCACGAATTCGCTGCTGCAGTGATGGGATAAAGGACTGAGGTGGATCGGCAACAATACCATGAGCCGTTGGGGCATCATGGACGCTCTTTGGGATCGTCTTGACCCCCAGCCAATATTCCCACCCGTTGCCCAGCACGCCAGGAACTCGGCTCACGTCGCTTCCGGCTTGTACCATGCGCGTAGTCGCCGGGTCAAGTACAGCAACTCCGCCCCACTGATCTTCGCCTGTCTCTTCCAGCTCCTCTACAGTAGTCGGGGCTACCTGCCCGACACGGAACCAAGCGACGCCGATTTTGCGGGCTCCGGCATTATTTGCATTGACACCTTGGCCCAGCCGGATGGTGATGTCTTCCTCCTGACTGGCACTGTCACCGCCAGCGGTGCCAGAGAACACCGCTCTGCCAAGTCCTTCGTCCACGCTAATTCCGACCAAATCGCCACTTTTAAGGATACGCCGGCGCGATTCGAAGTATTGCTTCAATCCTGCAAATAGCGCTGGTTGAAGGACCCGGTCCATTGAGAGAGGAGTGGACACCTTAAGCAGTGTAACCTCTTTCGCCAAAGGTGGGTTTTTAGCAGCAGTGTTCTTCATTTGATGCAAAAGACCAGGTTTGGAGGAGCCATTAGGAGTAGCGAAGGTCATGGGAGAGATCCGCAGGTACTTGGGATTTTCAATGTTACTAAGAAGCAACGGGGGAACGAAAACTGAAGGGGTCAAGCGGGTGGGTGCGCGTTGCGAAACACTGGACCGGCGTTCACCGGAGTGGTTAATGGCATACCGCGGCTTAGAGGACGGAAGACCTGAAAGACCAAAAATCTTAACTGGGCGCCAATCGCCCGAGTCTTCAGGAGAGTCGTTGAAACTTCCAAATTTGAGCGAGGCGAACATGTTCAGCTGGGGCTCCTCGGCAGCTTCGATTCTGACCCAATCACCGGAAAAGCATCCGATCTTAGCGAGCGTGTTGATATCTACAAAGATAAAGGAGTCGACGTCTTCGTCGTCGCGAGGCCGTGGGTGCAGCACCTCATTTGGAACTTGTTGCAGGAGACCTTCCACCTTGAAGGTCTTGCCTCCGCCACGGCCAGGGCGCATGGTGGCCGATGTGAAATTCGATGCCACAGACCCGGGGGTATGGATTCCGTCTAATCGTCGACCGCCGGCTCTAGGCGTTGCCGAAGTCAAGGAAGACATCACCCCTGATGGTGGCTGCGGCAATTCAGGCGCACTAAGAGAAATCATGTCTTCCAGAGAATCATCCGAGGAGTCACTCATGGATCCTGCTGAGCCCTCTGTTTCTGACTCCTCAGCAGCCGAGGTTACTTCCATTTCTGTCCCACTTTCGCCAGGCTTATCTTCGGCTGCAGAGTAGAATTGTTCGTTGGAAGTGTCATCAGCTTCGTCCTCGGCGACTTGCTTCAGAAGCGCAGATCTCGAGGGTACGGTTTGTTGAGCACGGAGACCTTGAGGACGAGCCTGGACAAGCACAATCTTTGTCGTCGACATCAGCAAGCCTTGCGAAACGGGCTCGCAGAATGAGATCCGCGCAGGTGGTGGTGGCGCATAAGTTATGGGATGAGAAGGGAGTGGAAGGGGTAGCACGTCCCCGGTATGCACAATGCGCTGAGCTCCCAATGCTTCACGGACTGCTGCAGTGAGACGTTGTTCGGCATCAGCTGCAGCCCTTTTCGAATACTTCTTGGCTTCTACTGAGTTCCCGGACTTCCCCCAGAGTCCATTCGGCCCTTGCGCATTCGTGAATCCACCGCCAAATTTGCTCTGGATATCATCATGATTGCGGAGTAGATGTCGCTCAACGGTCACAAAGATTGTATCGAGATGAATTGGGGCGACATCCAGAATCCGAATCTCTACGGAACGGTGTGCCTGTAGGGAGTTGCGTGACGAGTCAACTTTTCCCAAAGCCTGGAGGAAAGGCTGAAGTGAGTCTGCCGATTCAGGAAACATCACGGTGGAGTGTGACATTGGAACTGGCGATCTCTCTCTTGGCTGGATGCGCACGGGGAGTATCGTCCAGGCCTGATCCTCCACCGAGGTATAAGTCGGCGTATGCGGGGCAATTGCAACATAAAGTACTCCATCGTCAGAGGTCGTGACATCTGGTCAGAAGAAGACGGATTGGTTAACATTCTTATCAAGAACAGGCAAATGGGCTTCACACTCACCTTGGAGAGCCTGTTGCTGGAAAAGGTCATTCGCTAGATCCTCGGATACTATGCCGACTTTCCCGCGCAGCTGGGGATCCAAGGCCAAACGTGCTGCGATAGGTGCCTTATTGTTCAATCGCCGCTTTCCGGCTCTTCTTCTCCGTTGTCGAGGTTGTTGGGAGTTCTGCCCATACTGTTCGAAGTCCATGGATGCGGTGTCTTGTCCGGTTGGCGTCGGTAAATGAAGCGGGGGAGATAGGAGGAGATATGAACGGAATGCAATCACCAAATCATCTGTTTAACAAGCACCCATGAGAAAATGTCCTATAGAATCCCGCGCCTGGCTTAGCGAACTACTGAGGGGAGAAGATGAGGTTCGCCGGATCCAGAATCCGGGGGAAATCAACACGCGGGCATCTCGGCACCGCCCGTCGTTCTGCCATATCCCGAAGCCGAGGTCCAATCGACCGGGGAGAATGTACGCAAGTATGTGCGAAGGGTGAATAGAGAATATACGGAGTATATATATGTACATTATAGTTCTGCTGCACTTTCCTTGAATTAATAAAGATAGTTAATTCCAGTGGTACTCAAGAATGTATAGCTTTATGTCCAATCTCAGTCGCAAGCGTGCTCTAACGTCATTGGCTGTTGTCTGCTTGTGATAGCGCGGGAAACAAAAGCTCCCCCAGCCCTGGAGCTCCAAATGGCTGACATCATGGGGTAGGTCCATTCTAATTGAGTCCCGAGGTCTCAACTAATCTGAGCGAACAGAGGAGCTTATATTTGGAGGCTTGTTGCTCTTTTCGGCCATTGGAACAATTTTAGCCAAATTAGGTTCCCCGGAAATATATATTTGTCAGCTCTCTTCGATGCCCAGGGCTCCTAGTACTAAGGTTTCTAGCAGATACGACATTATCTAGTAGATTACCGGAGAAACCCATTAGGCAGTTGCATATTGAGGCAATAATATCGCAGCCTGGAATAGTCAGGGCGATGACGGGTGAGTGTGGCGGTGATGCCGAGGAGGTATATTCCTGCCCAGACGGGAATAAGAAACGCTGTTGACTGATTGCTTTCCCCGGATGGCTTGACAGGGAATAGACTTCCATACCAATCCCATCCATGACCTAGAGCCATTGCAGAGTGATCAGCTACATGGTAACCTTTAATACATAGAGAATATAGCCATGAATGTGGGTTTGGCATATCAATGAACTATACAATATTCTACTAAGGTTGGCGTTGTCTGTCCTTGAAGATATCACAACTGTTGATTTCAGGCACAGCTGTAAAGTAAATAAGATGCTACAAACACCTGGCTCAAGTATATAAAGTACATCGTACTCTTTGTACTTTTTGGAAATCTGGAGCTTTTTGAGGGACTGACAGGTGGGCTGTGCACCGGGAAGCAGGAGTCAGACAAGGGCGGAGCCAGCTGAGGGGTCGATACGAGCATAGTGCCTGGCCCGTCCGATCAGTAGACGGGTGCATTTTCGTCCGACAAACGCAGACTGAGCAGGACCGACATTGAACTATTATTGGACCGGGCAAGTACGAAAAGCGGTGATGGGAGGCTCAAGTGTGCATGTGCATCTCATATTTGGCGTGAAATCAATGAACTAGTACTCCCGTACTATTGGTCTAGAAGAGATGGGTGAGTTGGCAAATCTCAAAAAGTAGTCGCCGTTCACTTTTTGTTGGCTGTGTGGGTCGTTTTTGGTTGGTTTTCTAGTCAATCAGGGGCCAAGACCCTGGGGCGTTGGGTTGTTCCATGCTGAATCAGCGTGACCCTAGCGGGTGATTTTCCTTGCCCGAATTTTTTTTATGGCATGATCCTGGTAATAGGTGACGTAGACATGGTTGAAAATCAAAATGCTGACTCTGGATTTTACCATAGGTACCATGGGGGTACAGCTGTAGAAAATCCCAAGAATTTTGGTTAGAAGTTGACGCGTAGGAAAATAAAAAGGCTGCCTGGACTCTCCCGTTAGAACCTTGGAACCTTGGAAGGTGAGGCTCTTTTGGAACGGATTTCTCATCTTTCCGGGACCCGAGTTTCCATTTTAAGAAGTCAGTGGAACCAGTGGAGAAACGGTACGATACCCGCTGGGGGCCACGCGGGAACCACCTATATGGTTGAATTGTTTAATTACTGTTAGAGATTTACCATACTTTACCACTTTACCATACAAACGTGTTCTTAAGCCAATCACCGACTGCAGAATGTGCTCAGCCTTCGCATTCTATACCATTTTGGTGTTAGCGCCTTCGTCTATCAGGCAGACATCCAACACGCAATGAGCCTCCCAAGTCCCTTCTCTTCCTTGATCCGCTTATTCCCCCATCATCTGTGTTCGGGTTTATTCTTCATTTTCAATCCTATTTTGCTCTTCATCGCTGCCTTCAGTCTAAGGATACTATACATTTCGTATTTAGTGGGGCTCACCGCTTGGGAACCCATCTTGAACGTTATATCTCAGCATTGGAATCCCAGCATTTTAAATCCGGGGAATTCATTTCATCTTCGGATATCGTTATCGTTGATTAAAAAGCCATTTGGGCTGGTGTTATTGATCCTCTCTGCGTCGAACCCCGCTTTGAAGTTTTTCCGACCCCCCCGCGACACATTGGATTAGGAGTGCATGTTCACAGAGACTATCAGACGATCGCGCTATCGTGATAGATCTCCAGGACCTCATACTGGTTTAAGTGTGTCGATTATAAACACTCTTGGTGAATAGTCCAAGAGAAGCGGTGCTATTATATAACAAAGAACGGAGAGAATCCGCATCAAATCGAGGCTTGCATCTCTGACTCGACTGTACGTCACTCCTCGAATCATCTGGACAACTCTTCGGTGAGTCATGGCATGGGCCAATCAGCCGCAATACACTGCTCCTTTCCTGTCCGAATATGTATGCTAAATTTTAGTTGACACAGTACTACGCCCAATAATGTCTGCCGTCCAGACTGAGGCATCGCGGGTGCACCCGCGTCGTCGGCCTGTCTTAAACACCGCCATTCCCACCCTGTCGAGCGACTCGCCTGACTCTAAGATGCCCCTGAAGAAAGGAGAGACTTTCCATACCCCCACTTCTCCTCCATCGAGCGATCGCGACCCTGTCTTGAACTTCCGCTCTCTACCTCATCGCTCGGCCACTTCGTTGGAAGCCATCGCTGTTGCCGAGGAGCGCATGACTTCCATCCTAGGCCGTCTGACTCTGGAACCTACCGAAGATCAGAGCCCTGAGGTTGCTAGCGGTGAGAGTCTGATGGAGAGTGGGTTGGTGCGCAGTAACTCCAAATCCATGTCTAACTCCCCACGCTCCTCAAGTGAAGAGGGCCGCAGCATTCCCATCCCACTAGATGAGAAAAAGGCCCACCAACAGCATAGCCACGAGTCCGATAGTGGACTAGGGACCTCTGTCAGTAGCGAAGAGGGGCTGGCTGACTCGCAAACTAAAGGTGAGTGTCACATGCCACAAGAATACATTGTCGCTCTTTCTCCCCCCTATTGTTTCCTATTTGAGCCCTAACAATGAATAGTGAATGATGGTATTCACGACAATCAATCTGCCATTACAAGCTCTATTTCGGCTTTTGATACTGGGTCGTCACCAAAACGTCAATTAGGCCCTGCCGCCTGCAAACAGATTGAACGTTTTGTGCTCGTTCCTATTTTGAAAGAACCCCGCTTGAAACCATTCCATCCACTGGTCCGAAGCGTTCCCCAGCGCATCATCAATAAGCAGATTGTGTGTCTGCGTGACCTCGAGAAAACCCTATTGTGGTTGGCACCGGTAAGTCAATGCATTGTTCTATTCAAAGGGTTTATGGAGTTCTGGTTGCTTATTATTATTTTTTACTTTATTTAAAGAACTCCGCTACTTCTCGGAATTCCTATCTCAACTTTTGCGAGTTTACGATCCAGTGCTTGCACACTTCGACTTCGCACCTCAACGATCGTGATCAACGACTACCGGCGGATCGACCTTACACTAACGGATACTTCCTTGATCTCGTTTCGCAGGTTCGAAGATACGCAGCGATGGTTCGCGCTGAACGCGAACGAGTCCAGGTGACTCAGGGCTCCGAGTCTAACAATGAGTCTAACAAGGAGTCTAATCCTTCTGCGTATGTGATATCCCATTTAATGGACTGCGCAACCTATCTAACCCAAAATAGCATCCCGAAGGCTACCCTGGCAGGTGGTCTGTCTAAGAATGGGAAATCTGCCGAACTTGTTATCATGCAAGATGGAAAGCAAATTTCCATGGCCACGGGAAAGCCTTACGAGGCGGATGCTCCTGGTGCTGCCAAGCGTACTATCACTCTTGACGATGCGGTCGATGAGGGCGTTGAGCGCTCTATGGCCCGCCGCAAGAAGGATGCTCCTCCCATGAACATCAATCAAAAGTGCGCCGACTGCGACAAGGTCTTCAAGCGTCCTTGTGACTTGACGTAAGTTGCCCTCTTCATTGAAACAAATTATTAGAATTGAAATGCTAATCCATTCATAGGAAACACGAGAAGACCCATACTCGCCCCTGGAAGTGCGAGTACTCAGACTGCAATTACCACACCAAGGGTTGGCCCACCGAGAAAGAACGTGATCGTCACATGAATGACAGACATTCGGACAAGCCCACTCTCTACAAGTGTCAATTCCACAAGTGCCCCTATGCTTCAAAGCGCGCCAGCAACTGCAAACAGCACATGGAAAAATCCCATGGATGGGTTTACGTTCGATCAAAGAACAATGGCCGCAATGGCAGCAATAGCAGCAAGCGAGGCTCTTCTGTCCAGGCCACTCCTCAGACTCCCAGTGTTTCCACTCCTGCTTCGAAGGCGACCGACTTTGCCTCTCCAATCCCTGGCCCCAGTCCTTCTCCTAGCGACCAGAACTACAACTGGCCTGAGAATCCTCAGTTCAACTTTGCTGACCCTCCCCCGCTTGCTCATGGGGAGGATTTCCCCTATTCGGAGAAACATCTCCCTATCTGATGACCGATATCAACTCATTCCCAACTTCGGTGAACCTGAGCGGGTTCCAGAGTCAATTTGAAGCCGGCGACCCCAATGGCTTGATTCCGGCCCTGGAGATGCACCGCCAATCTATGAATTCCATGTCCATCCCATCTGCCGAATCGGTCCCCGACCTGATGGGACCTGTGTCCTTTGACGGATCCCCACTCACTGGCACTGAAAGCATCAACTTTGACCTGGATTGGAGCAATTTGGACTATCCAACCAACGAGGACTATACTACAATGGCTGCGCAGCTCCCCCAGGGGCATTCCCTGGAGGTGATGAAGGGTTATTCGAATGATTACGAGCAAATGAACCTCAACCACTGTTCCTACGATGTCTCTGGAAAGCTTTCCGGCCTTTCTCCTGGTGCACAGGGCAACGCCATGTTGTACTCACCGGACTCTTGTAACGTGGGCGACACTCTTTCTGAGCGCTACGAATACGGACTCCAGGCCCAGGCGGGCAACGACTTCACCCTCTACAACCAAAACGCCCAGATGGGTCGCCGTGCCCAGCCCATGATGCAAACCCCTAGCGACCACTCAGCTCAATACCATCAGCCTCAGCAGCAGATGTTCCCCTCTCTTGAGCACGAGCGCGTTTTGCAGAGCATGCAGCCTTGGACTGGCCAACAACCCCAGGGACACTACCTGCCTCGCGATATGGAGCTGGAATTCATGAAGTGAAAAGGTGGGATTCCTAGGGTTCAAAGCAAATACTCTTCTCAACACTTATTTTCTGAAGCGAATTTAATGTTCTCAAGCGATGGAAATGCGGGGGTTTTTTTTATCTTTTTCATTTTGATTTTATCTTAATCTTTCTACTCCAAATAACATGGCTGAAGTATATTTGTTTCTTTCATATTGGGTATAGTGGTTTTTGTATTGCCTCCTTTTACCTGGGTTGAGCGCCTTCGATAAATTGCCAGATGAATTTATGAAAAAGGCACGGTCCGAGCCCTGTTCCAAGTAATTTCCTACCAATCCAAGTTCCAGAGATATCCTAGTCCCCTCACTTGCTTCTCCAGAATCCACAATGATAATCTGATGACACTGCCGAGAGAAACCTCGCCTCGTAAGGCGCAGAACTAGTACGAGTACGGAGTCCCATATAGGCAACACTATAATTAGCCTTGGCGTACGAGTCCTATGGAGATTTAGTGATGGACTACGTCAAATAGTCACGGCGATCAAAATCGGTCGGGGCGGAGTTGAATTTTTAAAAAATAGTATAAATAGGTAATATAACCCATATAGAGGTTTAGAATACATACATAGCCCTATATATAGCCTTACCTAGGTATAGGTGTCAAGATCCCCCTGGTAAAATATTCAAAGATCTCGGGAGGTGACGACATCATCTCTCTGCCGACTCTTGCTCCGCTCCAGCCCCTCCCCCCATTGCCTTTGTTCCACCTTTTCCCGGAAGCAAACATCGTGAGACCCAGTATTCTGTACTGCTCAGTCTTGTCTTGATTGCGGCGCCCACTAGCCTTTTTAGGCAGACACATTCTGTGCTTCCTGCAATTCTCATCACATCACCTAGGACACTGGCCGTGTGATTCAATTTCCTAGGGACTCAGCTTCCCTCTCAACTGAGCCGGAGAATTACCGCTCAACATGCCGGAAACACAATCGCCTGATTCCGCAGTACCTAACGGGAAGGGAGATGTGGGTGCAACCCCGCCACCAGGCCAAGTCTTGACGGGCAAGCAAGAGCACTGTAAGTTGGACGATATGATGATCGGATTCAGATTTCACAGTTGCTGACATGTAGGTCATTTGCGCAGACCTCAAGCGTGAGCTCATCGCTCGCGAAGTCCGAGGTGAAATCTTCGAGCTCAATTCCCCTACCGCGCTCCAGCGATTCGGCGCCCCCTTCAGATCGGACTTCGGCGAGGTCGCACCAGTCGACTCAGAGCTGCCTATTCTTCGGTATATTTTTGTTCACCACGTTCGGAATTTCCCATTTCTCGACCAAGCACGCGAAAAGGAGTTCTGGCAGGATAAGCTACAAATCGTGGGTTTTTCGCTTCCCTGAATGGATAACTGTGGAGGAACGAAGTGTGGCTGACAGTTGGGGATATAGTTCTTGGAATCGTTTGCCAATAAACATGTCTCGTCTTCGGAGGATCGACTGGAGGAGACGAAGCGCCGGAAGTTGGCTCGGAAATGCGAGAAGCTCGTGGAGCTGATGATGGTTTCGGGTGTGCCGACCGCGTCGGGATATGAGGAGCGCATTCAGTTCTCGGAGATGGAGATCGTCGAGCGTGGTGCTCAGGAGTCGGGTCTGCTGGCTAATATGCCTGAGGGCAATTCAATCAATGGTTGGGATGTGAACGTGGCCGCGGTTCGGACAACCTCTGTCAAGCGGACAGTGCGGTACCATCAACATGCAGTAAGTTTCATAATTCTGGAAATCCCGTTCTTTTCTGAAGGGTCCTTTGCTGACAACATCTGCTGTAGGAATTCGTTATTCGAGTTCGTCACCACAACAAACAGGAGATTCATATTGGGAGGAGATATGGAGAGTTTGTCAAACTTCACAAGAGATTGAGGACCGAGCTGCCAGGGAAACTACTCCCTCCTCTTCCTCGTAAGAACAAGTCTTCTTCCACCTCGAGCTGGTGGGGCTCTAGTGCAGATGATGATGCTTCGTCTATTTCATCTCTGTCCACACAGGACACGAGTGTTGCTGAGGACCGGCTCTCCGCACCGACTCTTTCCGCAGGGGACCTCCGGCGATCGCTCTCCCGAGGATCAATGCGATCAACGAAATCGCCGCGTGCATCAACGAGCGACGTGTCGAGGGCGACTGTGCTGTACCGAGAGGAGCAGCGTGTGTCGCTGCGCGCGTTCCTGCGCACTATATTGCAGAACAAGCGCATCGCAGAGTCTAAGGTCATGGAAGAATTCTTGACTGCTCGCCCCATCGAGTTGAATGAGGAAGAGTTGATCGATGTTCAGAAACGGAAAAACATGGATGCTGTGAGAATTGAGGAACAGAAGAGATTCTATGAGATTGCTAGGCAACGAGCAGCGGAGCTGGACGTGTACATGGAGCGCTTCCGGCGGGATATTGTGGAGAGCAGTAAGTCGCGAGCTTCTTCCAGCACAACATGGCTTTGCTAATCTCAGTTGAAATTTAGATGGATTGACAAAGCTGTTCGCCGAGATCCGGGAAAAGCCTACAATTGCAGACCTCAGCCCCCAATACCAGAAATTTGCTGAGTGGCTCCGCATTGAGTATGTTGTCTGATTTTCTGAGTGATTACCCCTACTAACATTGAATAGGGTTGCCGCAACAATATACCATCTGTTCCTTGCCGAGGATAACTCCCCTGAACTGTTTGCACAGGCGAAGAGAATCCACGGCTTGGTCCCATACACGCTAATGAAAAATGTGATTCGCATCGCCAACCCTGCTGCAGTTATGTCTGGTGTTCTAGACCTTTTCATGGCCCAGCCCTTCGGCTCGCGGTCACTTTTGCAACGCATCTTCTCATTAACACTAAATGAAAGCATCAAAGATTTCCAAAAATCAATTGATTCTCTGGCTTCAAAGGTCGAAGATACTGTGCTTACTCAGAAGCTTAAGAGCTTTGCGGATGCCGAGGAAGAAATCAAGAATGTGATCCGAGAAGAGGCTGTTGCCGAAGATGTTGACATTATTGTGGCCATCCTTCGCTCCGAATTACTGTCACCCGAACTTACCCCGGACCAGATTGGCAAGGTGTTCAATGGCTACGTCGCTTGGAACTATGCCGTGGAGAATGTAGATCTGGAAATGCAACAAGGCGCCCAATGGTTCGCTCACATGAAGCAGCTTCTGAAGCTTTACACCCGCCAGCGCGACAAGGCGATGATGCTGGGCATTGTTGAGGAGCCGGTCACACTGCAACTCTTCCGCGATCTGTTCACTATCTTCTACGAGCCGCTCGTCCGCGTTTACAAATCTGCCAACGTATACAACAGCATTACGGACTTTGCTCTATTTGCCGACGATGCTATTAGTGTGATTGAGAGTGCCCAGCGCCAGGATGCCTCTGCTGATCCGAACCAAACAGTGCAGGCCTTCATCGACCTGTGCGCTCGCCACGAGGCCAACTTCTATAAGTTCATTCACGAAGTACACCAGCACGATAACGGCCTATTCCAGTCTCTAATGGGTTGGATTGAGGAAATTCTTGATTTCCTGCGCAACGGTCCCGCCGGAGGCAAAATGGACATTAACGCTTTGTTCCAAGGCGCTGTTGGAGTGGGTCAGATCGACAAAGAGCTTGCTCTCACGGAAATCAATCAGCTTATCAAGTGGCAAGAGGACCGGAAACGCTGGCATCTGAATAAGACTCGCCAGAAGATGGCTGCTGAAGGTACATCTGGGGAGACTATACCAGGAGCTACAACTTTCAAGGGTAGTGATTTCGGTCTTGACGAGGTATGTGTTTCCCGCCTACTTGACTTCAAAAATGAATTTGGATTTTAAAGCTAACCCCGGGCTTACAGGCTGATCTGGAGGACCTCACTATCTCGGATGAGGCATCTGATGCCTCTGATGAAGACTCTGGAGATGAGAACATGGACGATCCCATCGCCGTAGAGCGTCGCCGGCGGACAAAGAAGCAGGACCAACTTCGTCGTACTGCGGGTGAACCCGTTAAGCCCGAGGTTACGGAGATTCTCAAGCTTGCTGATCCGTTTGGTGCCATGTTGCGGCATGTGCTTGCCGATTAGATGTCGATGTTAGAATTGTTTTGCTACATTCGTGATACCGCCATAGATATGGCTTCTCCCGTTTGATTCCCACTATTTTATTTTATTTTCATACATCGAGCCTTTGCCCACTTGTTTCTACTTGCCGGCTCGCTCATGGCTGCGCCGAGGGGGCCGGGAGGACTAGATAGATACAACGTATGATAGGGACCGCACGCTGGATCGGTCATGATAATTGAGACGAGAATATTCATGATGGGCTGCCTATGTATCTCCGCAGTGCCTCTACTACCTGCTGATTTCCATTCTCCATTGCCACCTCTAATGGTGTCTTCCCATCTGTATCACCTAACTGTGGATCAATGCCAGGCGCCTCGAGCAGTAGTTCCACAACACCTATGTGACCATAAAATGCAGCATTAAACAGCGGTGTCTGACCGTTCTCATCACGAGCATTGGGATCAGCCCGTCTAGACCCAGTCAACAACCGCCTAACAATCCCCTCGTGGTTTCTTTCTGTCGCAACTCCCAACGGCGTAGTCCCATGCATATCAGGAATCTCCAGTCCAACCCTCTCACATCCAACCAACAAGTCGACGATCTCCTCGTGTCCATTCTCCGCAGCAACAAACAAAGGCGTCTGCCTCTTCCAATGTGTCTGCAAATTCGGATCGGTAACCTCCCACTCTAGTAAAAACTGTACAACATCCACTCGCTCCGCCGAAGCCGCAATTGAAAATGCTCCCCGCCCATACTGCTGTCCTTCAGCGTTAGGATCAAGCTTCTCCCCAAAATACTTAACCAAATACCGCACAATATCAACATGTCCCATGATGGCCGCATAGAAAAACACATGCTGACAATGCACAGCGCCATCATCACCCTCAAGAATCAACCGTAAATGATTCGCAAGCAGCAAGCCCACATCTCCATCTACTTCTCGCGCAGCACGACTGAGCGGCGTCCACCCCTGC